TAAACCTTTCCCACTCTTGTAAGATTATACAACGCTTACCGAGCATATTCATAACATGTTGTTGGTCAATAGCAGCCATGTCTAAGAAAGCAAAAAAGCCAATATACAAAACAATGGGGATTCCTAAAAGCAAAAGAAATTAAATCTTCCTTACTTACAACCAGTGATAGTGAAAGAATAAATGCAGTTAAATTCACCCCCAAAACTCTTCAACTACCAAGTTTTTTTGCTTTTGCTTCAACATACTAATACTCCGTCTCTTCTACCATACCAATAAGCATGCATTTCAAATCAGCTACAGTTTCTCACGACCGAAAAGAATTGAAAAACTGTTTGCCCTTCAAACTTCTCTGCATCCTAAATCCCTACTTTCCCAAACAAAGAAAAGCCCTAAACGCAAATTTATAAATGAGTGAAAGTTCAAATCCAAAAACTTTAAAATCCGATAACAAGAAATAAAAAATATGTAGAAAAAGCCCTTCCAGTACAACTAAAGTTTGTCTTGAAAAATCAATCTTGATAAATGTACAAAAAGCTTACTTATAAAAAACGCTTAGCAGCGAAAATAATCTTGAATTTGAGATCAATAAACGTCGAAGCTGTTTTGATACAGAAAACGATGTCAAAGGTCTACACTTATCCACATAGCTCCAACAGGGCCTGTAGCATTTACGCCTAGCTATCAAAACCAGAACCTAATTTGAAGAAAAGAAATTCCGTGATAAATAACAGCGGCTAAAACGTATTGTCGATGGAGGCATACGAACAACAAAAAAATAAAAGCAAAAAAAAAAAAATTGTGCAGGAGATAATAACACTGCTGTTATAATTATCTGACTTTAGAAGATTTCTAAATGCACAAAAAGAAAACAGTAGCAAACCTACAGAAACAACTAAATCAGCATTGAGAAAAGCACGTAGAAGAATGCCAAATTGAAGACGAAATCTTCCACCGCATGTAATTTACATTTCTTGTAACAAAGAGAACCAAACATAGCGCTTAATAA